GTATTGTTTTGTCGCGTTTGGTTACACAACCGGTGACCGCGAACTGAGGTCGGATACGTTCTCATATTTTATTATACGTATTCTTCAATCTCGAACGCGCGCGCAGCGAGGCCAGAAACACGAAAAGAGTACCGTTTCGCAACGCAGCAACTCGTTTCAATGTCACTGCGAGCGTTCCTGAACTGAGCGTTACTACAATTCGCTATGTTTGAATTATTTCCACTTTACATGTTGTGTATAGCTTTAGGTTTTATTTGAGAAGTGACACCATCGAGCACCACGCTTCAATAACCAAAAACATTGCGTTATTCCATTATCAAACCTCATTCAGGCAATCTAGATTTTATCTAAATAACCTTAATTGTTTTAAAAATGTTTTTTATTTACCATTCCGATGCACTTGTTGAATGTATGCGAACTTAAATCGTAACTTAAGAACAAAACAATTATTTATGTCAATGTTTTCAATGTCAAGAGTGGCGCAACTGAAAACTAAATAAACCAGTTCTTACCGTATAGTTAGAAAAAGTTGTTTTGTTGGTACAAAACAATTTTAATCACATCTTATTTATAAACAGATTTTACAAGTTATTTTTATATTACAACACAACATTGTTTGACATTCGAATTAATTAAATAATCAAGTACTTATATTGATCACGAGGGGCGTTTTGGCAAGTTTGTGTTGGAAGTGTTGTAATGTTGGCTGTCTGTGTGCAATGCTACGTTTTCGTCATTTCCTCTTGTTGACCGTGAACTGAGTTACGTCAGCGTTTGAGTTTCGGAACGAGGATTAGGATGCTCCTACACTTTGTATATAGCGGGCGATCGACGATCGACGATCGCCGGGCTGCTCCCACTCTAATTAAAGCTATTTTGAATGCATGAGAACATATAAATAGTATTTCTTACACTGTTCTTGAAGAAAACATTCTTCTTGTTCTTCTGTCCTTGAAGAATCATTTACATTAAATGTTTTTATAAAACCTTTATTATACCCAATGTATGATCTTAATTAGGAAGAAAGGCCACTAATAAGGAAAATAACAATATTAATGTTTTAACAAGAAACTTCTCAGAAATTACATAAATTGTAGACCCCAGACAATAACAAGAAAATAACAGTATGATAAAATTAAAATTAAGAGGTATAAGGTTAAATAAAAAATGCATTTGACTACAAATATAATCGATACCTGAACGAATAAATTGATGCAACGACGTGACGAAAAACGCAATTGAACAATATAAAGTCGAGGTTACTATATCGAAAAATCGTGTCACTGAAACCGAGCAGGAAACGACAGGACTAACGCCCGTGACTAGCTTGTTGATGTGAATAATGAGCATTGTTTTTTAAACATATGAAGCGTCCCCAGTGCACTACATGCGCGTGAGTTCACCAGTTACTGGTAGACATACTAGTAAGATGACTGCAAAAAATAATCAAAGGCGAACCGGATAAACTGTAGACAAAAAGTGCAAGGCGTCTGACGCTATGTCAAGTATTTTTAGCAAGAGACGCATCACAACTGCAGATTGAGGTTTAGTCGTAATTCTGGCCAGCGCCCGACCGGTTCCAACTTGCTTTTTTTACAGACGTCCGTGCGACGCGGTCTTAGGGCAGGGAAATCACAAAACGGATAAATCACTTGCAGTTCAATTAATATTATAAACCGTACAAACAATTTAGTTTGGGATAGCATAGCATATGCATTGTTTTATAATGTGGCATATTTGTTCACTTTGCGAATGAGGCTCCCACGCAAGCCAGACAAATATTTACTGAAATGAAAATATGGAGCGTCTAAATTGGCACCGCCTCCGGTTTTTGATTCATGAGTACGACGCGACGTCTTGTTTTAAAATAATAGTCGTAAAACGAATCACCCACGCTCCACTGCCATCGGATTAATATAACAAAACAAAACTGTCAGCGGGTGTTTTACCACTTTGATGGTTCGCAAAATTGACTGTCGTCTGCAGAATATCGAGTTGTTGAACTTTGTAAACAGGAAAATGCTGATACTAAAATCGAGAGAGCATCTCGAAAGATTTACGATATTGGTTCGGTAGCTCGGGTCAGCGTAGCCTATGCCTGATCTATCTTTTTTCGTGTCAGTTAAACTTTATGTTGGACGCGTTTCGATCAATTTTATACTATATTGCAGCGAACTCGTTTTCTTTGCATGCAGAAACTTGTACGGTGTTTGGCATACGCCTTGCTGTTGTTTTTGTTTTGTTCAAGCGCTGGCGAGTGTAAAGGACAATTAATGCCCCTTCAACTTTTGTATGTTTTTTGTAGCGTTCAAGTCGCCGGTCAGTGGAATAGCTGACATTTATGTTTATTATAGGCTATGCAACAACGGACAAAGTTAGTTCAATCTATTTTTAGACTCTTGTATAGAAGTTACCAAGTTTGTAGCTCATAAATCTGTGTAAGCACATCTAAAATTATCACCAATTTACTGCGGTCGTATGGCATGCCTACCTATTATCCGTTGAGGCTAAATTTGGACTAATTTGAGGGTAGGTATATTTAGCTAGCTAGAGGGTGCGAGGCTAGTGACCCGATAGAAATTTCCTATGATTCATCCCTACACCCTCCATTGTTACCCTAATATTTAACTTCCCTCTTTGATGACGTCATAATGTGCATCGATGTTTGTGTGTGGAATTCATCACCCTTTCACTGTGTGATGATTCATCGTTATGTTGAGAACTTTATTTATCTTTCTGCCATGAATGTTTTAAAATGACATATTCACCATACAGTTCAAATAGAGGGACTGTTAGCTACGTGCAGTATTGAGCGTATTCTTGCGAGTAAACAAGTTCATCGAACTCATTGTCGTTTCGTGCCGATAATGTTATCGGTACGAGTGACACTATTGTTAGGCAGGTACAATAATGTCGAAATTAATGTGACAATTTCTTTTTAGTAATTGCATCAAAGTTAATGAGCTTGCTTTCTTTTAATTAACAATTTTTGTAGGTAACTATTTAAATGTTTATTTAACTTTAACATAATGTTTCGCCTAGGAGCATGCAAAGTTTACCGAGTTGCAGAATTATTCTGTAAATAATAACATGTGCATCCACGTCACGTTGAAGTGTTCTCCGCACTATTACGTGTATTGCACACAATTTATATTATCAACAAATTTGCAGGACCGATAACTTTGAGTAGGTCGAAATTAATATATTATCTAAAAATTTCTACGTAAATATCGGTCCTATAAGTACACAAACATATTAGTAAGATCTCGTTTGTGTCTGTTGTGTTTACGGTGTGTGATTTCGGCGGTCAGTAACCTTCGCGACACGGATGCGCCTATAGACGCCGACGACGCGACGTGCGCGGCACTAAGCATCGAGTACCGCAGACGGCTCCAAAACAACATAACGCACGCCCCAACTCTCCCAACCAAGTTTTAAATGAAATGCAATAAAAATAAATGCACCAGTGAATAAAGTCCCTCGCTATAGAGCAGCTCCAGGGACTTATGGAGGTTTTGTTGCTACCTCGTTAAAAACTAATTTCAACTGGAATGGAACGAAATGGAACGGGGGGAAAAATGGAAATGTTTTCTGGCGTGTGGCGACGGCTACTGATTCCTCCTTCGACATAACTCAGTTCTCCGTGAGCGGTCAAGAGAGACGGGGTTCACTACAAGGGGGCGCAATTATACAGTCTCAGACATATTTAATTACTGGCACGTGCATATTTTTTGCTCTCGTTGCAGTGAATGCACCCATCTTTTGCAGGGAGCAGTCGCGTGTGTTCAAACACCGTGATATTTTTTTGCAAGACTTTTAGCCGTGCCTTATGCTCTTGCTCGAGAAGGTTAAATCAGTTCAAGTCGTGTTGCTTCGTCGCCGTTCACAGCTCTGGAGTCACAATTTGTTCTGTGAGTCATACGGTGATATCATGATATGACACCATCGTTGTTTTCCATGAGTTGTGTGGAAAATAAACTCAATAACTTTAACATTTGTCGAGTTTCAGTTAAATATAAGATGCCTAAGCAAAAAACTCTTGTTATGGGTTGTTTGAAGAGATGGTCAAGGCTATAATAATTTGCACTGGCCTTGACCATGAATGATAATATTTTGAATGAAGTTAGAGGTAGTTCTTTTGAAATTCACTGTAGTTGATACAATAAAACGAATTCTCATGACTCAATCCGTAAACAATTTAATTGATGGTAGATACATTCTCAAATGTAGGTTGTGCAGATGTAGGCAAACGGAGCGTGTCACAACATACGGGCATCGTATCGGTGGATAAGTGCGCGGTTACGCAAATCCGCAGATATGTCGGCGCAGCGCGGGCGCGCCGCTTGCACAAGGTTTCGCAGACCTTTGTTTTACGCAACCGGATCGATTTAATAGCTAGTCGTGCGTTTTCTCAGCTGTGTACTCGATAGCAAAATTAACGACACAGAATTGAGAAATTGTACAATATTATTCTAATTTTGGGACCGAATAAAGTCTAAGAAATTATAACAATAAGATGAGAAAAACGAGTTTAGGTTTCCGGTGCATAGGCGCGATAACAATAACCTGTTGGGATGCGCCCTCAGTTTAGCGAGATCCTTGTCATCAACCATAGTATATATACTATGGCTCTTTGAATTCTACTCACAATCAGAAGTAATTTTGTATTTATGACACCTATATCCGGTAACACATCGAAGAGCCGGTCGCATAGCCATTATGTTTTGTCGAACGAGCGAGTAGAGACGACTTTCGTTTGGGAGCATTGCACTATCGCCAGCGTCCGGTAGTCATATCCGGTGTTTTCGTACCACCAAAAAAGGTGCGAACACACGTTATTTATAGCCGTGACGAATACTTACGTCGTCCTCGTGCGTTCATTTATTTTCAGAGTGAGGGAGAAGCGTGGGTGTAATAAATTCGAAATCATTCCGGGTTATTTGACGGTTGGCGTATGAATAGCGCAGCAACGAGAAGATGGTCAAATGAGAAGGTGAACGATGAGTCATCAAGGTATTTATGAATTTTTTAGTGGGCTCAGGACCACAGGAGGAGGCGGTGCGGTGTGTAGTCGGCGGCAACGTCGGCCGCGCGACATTGGCACAGTTGCGCGCGACCTCACCACGCCGCGCAAGTCGCGAGCGAGGTCGCGAATAAACGCCCCAAAACAACCAACTAACACTGCACTTGAATTCCGGCACGCCTGAATCACACTACAAATTAGCACCCGATGTACGCTAGGTTATCTACACGAGCCGAGCGTTACGTAGCCACACCCGCGAGAAAAATAGCACTGACATATATGCCAACTTCGCAGTACTGATTGCAACGCAAACACAAAGGTTCGTTACGCAAATCGAACTATAACGGTGAAGTAGGAATGCACCTAAAGTTATACAAGTAGCAAAATTGAGGTATGGTTATATTACAGAGTGCCTTGTATTATGCAAATACATCGCTGTAATGTGGAGGTCTCTTGCACCACGAGGCTTTGGCAACTTCGTTTCAAAACGTTTTCAAAATAGTGTAGGTGTGCAGGTACACGTCGTGCGATCGACTATTGCCGAAGCATCGGTAGACGGTGACCACCTCGGGGTATTAATTTGGTTAGCGTGTTGCACATTTTTTTAAAACGAAAACGGTTGCGTGTTCATCCAGTAACAAAATTGAACCGTACCAATTAGAACATCTTGAAGAGATGTGAGTGTATGTCGGTGGCCGGGCCGGCATGCGATGTGGCGGCGTCTACCGGGTGGCGAGGCGGGACGTCTATCGCGGACCAATTTGGCACATCCGCTAGCGACCGCTCACATACAGAACCGTAAATATCCCGTCCCGTTAAACACGACAGTCGTGCAAATACCCGCTAGATATATTAACTCATGTGCTGTACAAAAATTGCGCACTGCATTCCCGGATCAATTATAAAAATACCTTATCATCACGACAGACGTAACATTTAAAGTCTACTCCCTTGTTAATACAGGGAGCTACTATAGGCTTGCGTAATCAAATGCCGCTTTATAGTCGTCATTGTTTGCGATACATTCGATCATCCGAGCTGGCTTCTGTACACAACGTTACACCACAAACCCGGGTTTTGTTTTCTTACCTGAATGATTCAACGAATTTATTATTATGTCGGGTGGATTGGGCGGGTCTGAATTGTGTCGAGGACAATTTTTATACCTGATTTTATTTACAAAGGACGAAGCCTTATATGGCAAGAAAATATAGGCTCCATTCTGTCTGGTGCGTTAATAGATTTAACTAATTCTCAATTGTAACAAATAGACGAGACAAATCCGATTTTAAAGATAGCACGCGGACAAAGGCTGTTTTTGTTACGTGAATGTATTTCCGCCATATCCTGTCGGTAATGCAAAAATTAAGAATGCTTCATTCATATAAAAGGTAGTTTAGATTCAAACATCCGGCTTTTCGTCAAGACTGATGTCATTGTGGTGATTTTTTTTGTAAAAAGTAATAGTTATATTATTATAGTATGAGCAAAGGAAACTTCCATTAAATGAGACAGTATTATTTATTATTCTTTCGTCCTACGTCATACTGATAGATAGCGGTACAGCGCCTACCGAGGATCGTGCTACCTGCGTTATCGCGTACCGGCCTTGTTTTCCTCCCTCAAGGTCTACGCCCGGATATGCCGCCGGAGATTTCTCTTGATAGTTTCTAGTTACACACGAACCCCTCATTTGTAACAGTTGATAACAGAGAAAGTCGAGTTCACCCTCAAACATTTGTTAGGGATACAATCTCTCTGAATCTCAGAATTGAAATTCAACCCACATGGTAGAATGAGGGTCATTATAGTGGGCAGTAAATTATTCTCATTATTACTACATACCTTATACACAGAAATAAATTCTCATAGTTTCAGTCAATCATTTTACTAAAACTTTGTTAATATTTTCGAAAGGTGTTTAGGAAAAATCCGTTTTAATTTCAAAGCATTAGTGTAAAAAAACACTTTTAAAAGCGTCAAAGAGAATGCGGAATCAATATTAATGCTCATTTATTTACCTTTGATACAAGATGCTCTGTGTCGCAAGATGTTGTTCGCGGCGCTCCGCCGGTAAAATCGAATTTATAATTAGGGGTGGTTATCCACGGTATAGACGTGAGAACTGAGGTCACAGGGCGGGACACTTGCTCATGTTGCACCTTCACCGGTCACTATTCTCACGATTGCAAACAACAGCTGTATAGTGACCAATGACATGTGCCATCATTAGAATTTTTTAGGGCTAAAGAAGGTCAGCTGCTCGTTTACGAATAAAAGTTTTTTTTGAACATCTGAATAATCACTGGATACGGTTACAGAAAGGATCCTATCTGGGAAAAAAGTGAAACATATGCCCATTAAGCGCCTTGGGTCACAGATTGCTTGAAACAGCTGTCTACCTGTTTGACCAACACGCAAAGGTCCGGTATCATTAAGTAGTAGAAAAAGCTATATTTCCGCTCCAACACCAGCACATGGCAAAACTGGAAACGCATCTGCAATTTCCTGTCTAATTAAATAAGCAGCCAGACATGACTGACGTCAATGAACGAGCGCGTCCCGTTTGCTCAACAGTACACAGAAACACATACTCATTGCATCCAGCGGACATATAGAAACAATGGTTGTTTTCAGTTTGAAATTTCCTTGGCAATCATGTATTTATATTTCTCAACGCAACGACAACTCCTTTGAGAAGTTTGATGTGGTGAAAGTTTATCTTCTCTGTTTAGGGTCTGTGTAATAACTAAAAGTGAAACATTCCGGCTTTGAAATTCAAGTTCGGTAAAGGCTCCTCGAGTCGCGGCGCGCAGCGTACTCTGCCATTACGTAAAGGGTATAGCAAAAGTTTTTACATTAGAGGCACGGTCGCGGTGCTTTCCGTTCCGCATCGTGAACCAACGCTTTTGACAACACTCGCTTTGATGCGACGCTGTAAGAGTATTAAATTTTACCTTTTCCACTGTCTGTCCACTCGACGGCGGACTGAATTAAAACTGCTCTGTAAATCCACAGATGGGCTTTCCTTTTGTCTACGTTTGTGAGTAATATTACGTTTCGAATATGTCTGCGGTTGAGCGGTCGTATCAAAGGCATGTTCACATTCGCGATGTAGATGTCACCAGGGACGAGGACCAAAGGTCACAGCAGTGAACAAATATTGACTTTGAAAAAGACAGTTCATTTTGACAGGCCGAATATTGCATCTAACGTAGGAGGATGAAACAGAAATTTAAGTACAATAGACAACTTTCTCACTTATACTAGATCTGTACATTGTACACAAAAAATACATAAGAAATGTATTTCATCGAGATGTTATCAAATCAAAAAATGAAAAAAGAAATCAATAAAGGAATCTTATTAAACCGACAATAACGAGGGTCGGGATACGGGCAGGTGAATAGAATTTGTTTAAAGATCTTTGAGGAATTTGCTGGTTAAAAATTATGTGTGTTAAGGGGTGCATAAACTTGATTTCGTTGATCCAGGGGTTTTCTCAGGATCACCTGAACGAATAAGGGTGCATAAGGGTAAGCAGGTACCCGTATGGGAACAACAACACGGGGGTCAGGGATGATACGGTGCGATACGTACACGACGCGGCAGTGGAGACACATTACCGCAGACCCTTGACCCGATTGCTGCGCGCAGTATTGTACGCAGCAATGACACCGTTTGCCTTGAGCCGCTAGCATTGCCGGAGATATTTGCAACAATGGAGGCCAGATAACATTTCAAAAGTTTGAAAATCCGTTGGCTCCTACCGGCCGACACGAGCCGTAATTAATACAGCTGTTGAGTAATCCTATTGTACCGGTGATTGTCCTTTATTTTAATGAATTTGTTACATGTCATTGTAACAAACTTGAAGTTGTTAGTCAGTGGTATGATTAAACATTCATTTGAACAGGCGCTATCTAATAAAGTGAACTTCTTCGGCGCCGTGGCGCAACGTGCCTGCAATACTTTACTTTATCGAGAACGACAACTAACATTACTAGGGCGACACATAGCGCAAGTGAATCGTCATAATGAATGACTTGATAACCGTTTATCGCAGTAGCACAAGGCGCTTGACTCATAGAGGAAACGACTGACTACTTAAAATACAAAGAGCATTTCCGTTTCCCTTCTAACATTTTTTATTAACCCATCGGTTTTCTCACGATTGATCTTGCCAGTGGTGGGCGTCGGTAGTAAAAAAATGCCGAGGAAGTAATCGATCGACTAATTCTACTTAGATCGATATCAGTTGCTACCGACTCATTGCATCAGAAATTTTGGCAACTGAAGAATTGCGACCAGTCGAAGCTGCTTCAGTACCGCAATGCGAAATGTTGTTAAATAAAATTGAGTACCGCTATAAATATAGGTTTCAGTTTCACAATGCAAACACTCACCTTTGAGGATCCGCGAAGACAAACTTCCTCAGTTTGAGATCCCGTAAAACAATGCCTTGTTTATGACACGCCGCTACTGTTTCTGCCATTTGTCTGAACAATCTGCGAGCTTCATGTTCCCTTAGTCGTTTTCTCGCTCTCACGTATGAATGGAGGTCAGAGTGTGATCGAGGGAATATTAAGTACACCCTCTTATCGCCGACTAGAACTTCGTGTATAGGATTTACGTGCGGATGGCCATCTAGACGATAGTGGGCCTGGAGTAAACTGCTGCAGTCTCGTGATACCACCTGGAGGAAAACAAGCATATTACACACCAATTCAACGAAAGGATACTGTATTTATCTTAGTTCGGATACTAATAAGGATACAGGTCCGGTGTGTCATTGTTTATCTGAAGGTGCTTTAGGGGAAAATCAATTGTTTCCTCTGAGTCCACTCGCTCCTTACAATATTGAACGAAGTATCTTCAATAGTCGTAGCTATTTTCCTACAAACGTTGGCCTAGTTCATCGTCGCGTGACTAAATAACATATTGTTCTCTCAGTTAGTGTCTTTATTAATTTATTCTTTTAGTATACGAATATAATCAAGTTTCTGTTGGGTCTTACACCTAAATATATTATTTTATAGAGTAATCTTGGATCCTTCTGTTAAATAGATTCAAAGGCGTTCTATTTCAAAGCGGCTTGATTTAAAAGGGCTTAGTCTAATGTGAATAACGAGCTTGAAACATTTAGTGAATAGAAGCGAGTTAACCCTCGTTGCAAATGTTTCGCAGTTGACTTCAAACAGAATACGGGTGTCAGACAAATAGAAATCGAATGAAACGGACAAGATATTGTTGCGATACGGTCAATAGACAAGAGTATATCAACGGTAAGCTTTCGAGCTCGGTATACGACGCGTCTACTTGGCTCTCTACTGTTACTTTTTAATGAACGCTTGCATCCATTCGTACCCACATTGTGATCGACATAAAATGCTAACGACATTGTGACCGCAAATTCCAAATGTGATATCCCGACTCATGGATGATGAATCACGTCGCGTGCGTCAAGCCATTTCTTTTAAATCATACCGTGCTGTATTTATAGTTTTAGTTACCTATTTCAGAGCACTCACCCTAGACTAACCGTCGCTTTTTCAATTTCTTCTGTTATTAATACTGGGCGTTGTACGAAAATAAAACATGACCCATTTGTGGATGTGTTTGCGAAAACAGATATTGATAAGAATTTGCAGTGTTGACAGAACACTTGATAATATTTGAAATCGAATGTATTTTACGGGAGCTAACCTACTTAGCTGTTATCAATATTTGTATAATCGCAAGGTATGTATATGATTGAATCTATTGCAAAATATTTGTAGAATGTCCTCGATATACTTGTAAAATTTGGCACTGACTCTAACAGTTATGATAACCTAGCTTCAACTCGATTACAATTTCGAATGATTTCCTGTTGCTATTTTATTTCGTTGTTTCAGCATAACTAATTTGCAAAGCCTAGCGGCGATACAACTTAAAATCATTCTTCATCGTATACAATAGCTCTTTCAATTGTTTACAGTCGTAAGTAATTCAAACAAAATTTCAAAGTGTCCTTGCGTAAAGCTGGCGAGTTTGTTTCACTTGTATTGATAAGCTAAATAATGCAGCAATGTATTACGATACGAAGCCGGCTCATTCTAATACTCAGTGGTGGGGGAAAAGAGGGAGGCCTCGCGATGACATTCGGCGATCGGCTTGTTATCAAATCGTCTATTTCACAATGTCAATGAGAAGGTCAAGCTTATTTTCGGTTGGAAGTGATGCGATCGCATTTAATGTATTATAAATAATAATAACATGAGTTTATATAGATCAAAATTTGGCGGTCTATTAGTCTAGCACACATGATGAATGTGAAACATAAACGTGGCAGCCGTGTCGGCAATAGTTGGTGTTGTAAATACGCTCGGCGTTTAGCAACGATAACGTTACCACACTTTAACCTTGCCAAGTTCTCACGAGGGAAGTGCCTATTCTGTGCCTTGACAATACCCGTATAGGCCTTTGTTACTAACCTATGTATCCTGTATTGCCTAAAATTAACTACTAAAGCCTACCCAACAATAGAATAGTTTGAAAAACGTGTTTTAGAACTAGTTTTTTTCTACAAAGGCGTTGTGACTTTGATTTATAGAATCCGAAAAAGGATATTTGGCATCATAATCGTATCGTTCCTTTTATAGATTAGGTACCTACTTTAAGTTTTTCAGATACGTATTATTTTACAAAGTGCATGTAACGTCAATCCCGTTAGTGTAGTTCATTAAGTAGCGTGTTATTAATGTTATAATTGCCGTTATTGTTAGGTTATCGATTGCGAAACTCGACACATGACATTGTAAAAACGGCGATGGCTGTGGCCTACAAGTGCGATCGAGCAGCACGGGGCCCTGACATATTAAGTATGACATCGCCTCTGAACAAGATGCTATGAACAATACACGCGAGACTTGTAAAAAAAAACTATTTGTAAACATTAATTTAAGTTATTTACGGTAAGTTACAGCATCACTTAAAAGTAACTATGGACAGTGATAATTGAACAACAAAATTATGTACATAACAGTAACAGTACCTACTTATTTTTTAAGAACATTTTACTAATTTGAATACTAGTTTGTCAAAATTATGAGTAGGTTTTACTTTGTTGTACAGTGTAAGGCATAAACTTAACTTTGTAACTGTTCATAAATTGAGTAGGGAGACGATATGTGGGCATATTGAGTACTTCGATTATCGCTACATGGGGTCTTAATCCCGTGGGATAGTCAAACCCTTTACGGTTTGCTAGATATTTTACCCCTTGTGCGTAATTAAATGAATCCATATGATTCGATTACATTAAACTTAGTTTAAACTATAGGGATGTCATTGTTCCACATTTGTAACTAAAAGTAACATATCTAACTAGATGATTGGTTAATTATTTTACTAGTCTAAGAGGTCGATCTTAAAACAAGAGATTACACACTATATCAATCAAACAAAGCTACGCAACAGCTGTTGAAACCCGGCACAATTACAACATAATGCACGTTACGCATCCTATCCGTGTCGCGAGACCAAACAGATTGTACCTATTCCAATTTCGAAAATTTCAAAAAGTTTATTTGTGAATCAGTTTTATGAGTAACAGTAGGATAGTTTGGCAACATTGCCAGTTATAAAATTAGTCGTCCTTATTATGAAAATATACCTCTATATGTAGGTAGGTAGTAGGTTGCTATATGTGGGTATGAAGTTATATTATCGGTACCTATAGTTCTAGCTGGTGATTAAAGAGAATACGATACATTTGCATAAATTCAACTGATAAACTCGTTGTAACTAAAGGCTCGGGATCGAGGCAGATAGTCGCAGAGTCCCTATAGGTAGCGTCTTCACTAGCGTACCGTATATGTATTCATTAATACGTATGCATTATGTTTCTCAGTAAAGGTATACATAGATAGGTAAGTACGTAGGTATACATGTAATAAACTTGTCACAGTTCTGGGAGTCAATGCACTTACGTCATTATCTAACAAGTAATTTTAATTAAATAGTACTTTGAGTGGTCAATTACTTTTAAAACAAAAACTTACTTTGCAAACATACTCCTCTTGCGTTCGCACGTCCACACACCGACAAAGGGATGAGCCCTCAACCTGTTCCAATAAAAGGTATTTCTCAGCGACTAGCGCCGCTTGAAATTGGTGGTGAGGTGGCGGCGGACTGCTAGGGGCAGGCGGGCTAGGAGGTGAAGGAGCCGCGGCCAACCGGTCGGCAAGCACAGGCGAAGGTGCTCGCTCCTCTGTTTTACTGCTATCCTCAGTGTCCGGAACGGGCACCGTCACGGCCGGCTTGCTCAGGCGCAGCGGCCACAGCAATGATGGCGATCCTGGTTCCATCACTAACACTTAACACTGTCACGTTACACTTATGTTCACTAACACACGCACAAACACTTAATTACGATGAAGGAACTACGATGAGATGAACATGATCTGCAACAAATAGAAACCACCGATTAGAATTTCCTGTTCCTAGTGGCACTTGTGAATTCACTGCACCGGCGATATTACAAAATTTGAAACAAACGAGACAATCGACACGATTTAGTAACGTTATTTAGTAAGGGGAAATTACGAATAAAGTACGAACCTTGAAATGATTCGCCCTGAGTGGATATCGTACCAAAATTTGACTGTCCGTGATCACGAACAAGTCGCTTTATAATGTGAGGAATTACTGGAATAATCTTCAAGTAATTCATGCACCGATAGACGGCCAATATTTTGGGCCGGTGTCCGCTCGGGATGTTGTGAAACTAAACGAACACACGTCCTATTCTCACTAACTCCATTGCGAGACTGACGACGCTCGCTGCCGCGAAGCCTCGGACCGGCAACCGATCCAACGTCCAATGTCGACACACCGTCAGCTTGCGTAGTACGCTAGAATACGCCACGAGTAATGAAGTGAGAGCGATTACAGTATATTTGTCTTTTTCTTTCTAGAAGCTTGTTCAGTCTGAAGAAAAGGACAGAATTCGACCATTCATTTACGTTTGGCAATGCAATAGCAAACGTTTGTTTCAATATTTTTCACAAGAGCAGGTAATATTATTTCATTACACACTTACCTTCAAGCTCTTAATTTAATTAATTTTCACGTATTTCTACGACACACGTTTATAAATAAACAAGTTTTTTTTAACACAGTAAGGTATCGAAGAAGTGTCATAACTTTAGTTAATGAGTATATTGATGAGCAATGATGTAACCAAATTATCATTCTTGTTGCATTTGAATACTTACCTATTTTTATTATGATTTTTGATGATTAGATATCAAATAGTCTGATAGAACTTGTAATAATCGCAAGCTAGGATTTCATCATTTTCAGCCAATGTCATTACTGTAAATACGATTCGCATGTGACGTTAAACGAGTTTTAAACTTAATATTCATGAGCCATTATATCGATCGACATTTGATATCCACGTAGGTACTCACTTGCGGTTTGTTTAAAATTTAAAGGTGGCGAAGTGTGCTCTAAATGGGTATTTTAGCGAAATTGTATGTCCTGTTTATCCTCCATAGTTATTTTAACAACATTTTAATCGAATAATAAAAAAATGTATCCATTTATTTATTTGTGAAAACGTTTTATATGAATGATTAATTACTTAGGTATATAAATAGTAAAATTTCCTACTTTACAAAACGAGAAAAGCGTCGTTATATGGCGTGGTGACGTTTTCATTTTATTAAGTATTTATTAGAATCATTAGGTGAAATTAAATTGAAATACAAATGTAATAATTTTAGTATAAAAAGTTAAAAAAAAATTTACGTCTATGAATTTCAGTTCGTTTTTTTGTCTTGTCTATACAAGAACAATGGCAGACAAACGCCGGGCCTGCTTGACATTACAGGTGGTTACAGGTTTCAACGAGCGGTGTTCGGACTAATGATGATGCACAATACGAAACCAAATACCTATGAAACCTACTATCCTACCCATAACATAATGCTTAAGCTTATCTAGATAAATTAAAAATACATGTCGAAGCTCTAAGTTACAGTATTTAGTTATTTAAAAAGTAAGATTATTTATAAATAATAAGGTAATAAGGATTAAATCAACTTTACTAGGCTGTAAGGAGGGTTGAATGGTTTCCGAAACGTCATACTATTTATTATCTAGAAATCATACAGAGTTACCTACTCTGTTATGATAAAAAGTTATCAACAATTAACAGCTATCAGGGTACGATTAAGTGCTTTATAAAAAGGATTAACAAAAAATATAAGAGAAGTAGAAAACAAAAAATATTATCACACGAGAAAAAAAATGCGGGTAACTGCTGATTCCCTAAACGACGTCAGCATGTCATGCGTCACACTCACACTCGAGCCTCATTATATCTTTTTCTCAAAACTCATGAGCACTATAAGAATAATACAGATTTGTAAATGTGATATTATTAATATAATAATATTTCAAACTCACTCTTTTTTTTAATTATTTAAAATCGTGTAGGCTCTAAAGTCATATTTCAACACACACAATCGCAACAATTTCTGTTTTGTCAAATATTTATTTAATTCAACAACGAATTACAGTACTTAGTAGATTAATACGAGTATCTTAGTAATTTTAAGATAACTGTTATACTTAAATGTTTTATTCTCGTGTGTTCGTTTCGAATTGAAGTTGAAGTAAAGAAAAGTTCTAGTTTGACTAGGTAACCTAAAATATACCGACGATCGAAATATAAATTACCATTCATATTTTCATAAAACGTTTTAGGTAGTATTATCGTAACCACGGTATAACTACTACGTAATATGTTTCTATGGAGGCTTATTTTATAAACCGCTATTACGACGTATGTGGTCTGTAGAAAATCTAAAAAAAGGAAAATAAAATAACGCCTAACGTGAACCGATAAAGGGTGGCGTGATTTTACGTCATACGTATTTTAAAAATATTATGCCTGATGTTCTATAGGCATATGCGCAGTTACAAATACTATTAACATCTTTATCGTGATAAATAACATGTAAGTTTACTTACCTTTCTATGCATATATGGCCGCAATCAAATCAGTACTGATGTTTTTAATAGCTAACAAATGTATTATACCAGCTCAATTCTTACTATTTCATTACTCACAATAATTCACATCGTCATATTTTGAGAAATGGTGTAACGAGGACTTAATTTTTTTAATTTATTGGCTTTATAACAATCACTGTACCGCATTTGTGATAGAAAAAGAAAGATCACCGTGCTCAGAGTTTGAAAACGACTATCCGTAGCTTGTGATAACTGAAAATAAATGACTTTTTGTTTTTTTAATGGTATTGCGCAATATATTTTCCTAGTTGTGTAAGAACAAGTAAGGACTGTTCCGAATAGTGGAGTGGATTTGTTTCTTCGAGCACTCATTAAATATTGACCATAAACAATAGTATTTCTTACCAGTCTCAACAGAAGAGAAAGAGATTTTATTGAAATAATTTTACATAAAAGTTTATGACGTATGATGACGTTTGTTACTCGACTGGCGTTAAATGGCGCGCGGTTGCCAAGCAACTATTATGGTTACGCACGCGTTTGCTGTTGCGAATTGTGAATGTTTATTTTGTTTTTACCTCATAGCTACGAAGACCTTTGTTATCCGACTGCGACCGAAGAAGGATTATTTTTGCAGTGTATGTATGTATATTTATTTGTACGCTCTTAGATACGTCATTAGATTTGTCGTGAAAGAGACACAGGGTATATTAAAATTATGATAATTAAATTCACCTATTTGTCAATTTTAAGTAATTACTAATACATTGCAACGCAGTCGGGTTTATTGTTTCTTTCAATAATTAGCTTGTTTATGTAGAAGTTTCATATCTAATGGCTATAAATATCAATTTATGTTTCTTCGTATTTCATGATCATCGGTCATTTATTTAAATAACTGATTTAAATAAATAAATCGATATATAATAAAAAATATCGAATTAATCCGCTTTATCCACATATAGGTACATGGCATGGGTTACGAACGAGGATAAAGAATAGTTTTAGACAGGCACGACATTTTTTTTATTATTATTATGTAATATACTCACAACATGTAGGTTACACGCTAAATACCTGGACAGGTTTAGATGTGTGTTATTCCGGTTAGTACATTATTATACGTTTACTCGTGTGTGAATTGTAAATAGCTCGTTTCTTTACTAATACATTTGCAAATTATTATTGTTTCAAAACCTTTCTGTGTCTAGCAATATTTCAATAAAATCGTAGCTACTTCGTACTACTACTGACAACTATGTACTACTACTACATATGTAGTTTGTTGTCACATTTGGTGTTAAGTAAATATGTACTAATATCTGATGTTTCTGAACTACTTAATTTCGAATAAATTTAAGTTTGTAGAATTGTTTGTATACGTGAAGCTTTTTGTAATATAATTAATTTAATTATAAATTTCTGAATCTACTTTTAGCCTTGCCAACAAAAAGACGTTTTTTGATACCACAAATTATTATTATGATCTTCAAAACATACTTTATTAATCTTAAATAATTAAATTCTTATTGAAAAGATTTAAAAGCGAATATAAATAAAAATACAAACCGTACGTGGCCGCGATACAATTTTTAGAATCGATATCTTCTTGTCTTATCAGAAAAAACTAATATATTTCTATTCAGAAAACAATATATATCCAATGATGGTTTGTTGTTATTATAATTATGTTATTAAGGCTACAAAACACGCAATGTAGTCGGTGTCATACTTACATATATGTCGTCAATTCGTCATGTTTGCACACTTCCAGTTAGCCTGATGATTCAACGGCAAACAATTCGAGCGATCCTTTGTCCGTCCACGTTAGTCAGGGCTCCTACGCATTCCCGATCAATGAAACACGGGATGATGACTTAAGGAAGGGTCTTGAACCGTGTGATCTTAAAATATTAGTGCCTGACCGTCACATCCGGGGTTAAACTGGTATTTTAAGAATAAGCTAAACATGTTTACTTAGATATTAACAAGGATATATACTTAATCCCTATTGTGATCCTGTGTCCCTTTATACATAATAAGAAAACTGGAATTGGTCTTATAAGGAAATAAAGGTCATGGGGACGACAAGAAGGTAAAAGAATACAGAGAGTTCTAAATGATCTTCGAACTGATCCTTTAGCCTGATTAAAGATAGCCGTACCCGTTCATGCCCTAGCAGATGAAATCTTTTTTGCTAGCCAGTCTCTTTAACCGCTGACAAGCAGACAGCAAACAGCTTTTGAACGAAAAGCCGCTTAGATTATATAAACTAGCAACCTTTAGGGAATGTCTTGTTCTAACCATCTCAGTCCTGATAATC